TAATTTGTGAGCAGAGGTGATTATAGGCCTGGCTGGATTACCAAGTTTGTGTGTTTTGATTACACGTGTATGGTACAAGATTTGTAGTTTGTTTTTTTTAATTAACTCATTTTGCCTTTCAATATTTATTTTTTGTTTGAAGTTACTGTTAAGTGAATCTCTGAGATCATCTGAGAGTTTACGCAGGAGACTATTTTAGGCAATCAATCCTTGTATGTATAATTACAGAACTAAGTGTTAAACTACTACAGCCTTATAATTACTACTGCATTTGTTTTGTCTGTTTTAGTAATATGTAAATTTTCAATATTTAAGATTTTTGTCTTAATCTCACGAGTTCAGTTGGGAATATTTTATTGTGGAACTAGGTCTGGTTAGGCTTGTCAGGAAACAGGCCAAGTGTTTCCTGACGTGTGTCTTAGTCGTACGACCCACAGTTGGAGCTTTTGGTCATCTGACCGAGGCCTTCCACTGGCTTACCCCACCACCCCTTTAATGACTATGGTTATGCCTATAACCATTTCATGGGTTTGTACAGAAAGTTGTAGACGTATGCTCAAATAAATGGTGTTTACTATTTAAGCATATGACTACCTGGTAGATGAGAGACACAGGCAACACTTAGGCAACTTTATTCAGAAACATTTCGCCTACACAGTAGGCTTCTTCAGTCGAGTACAGAAAGTATTGTATGCCATTTGATAATCATATGACTACCTGCAGTACTAATAGCTGGATCTCTGGTCACAGGACAGATCCTCTCTAAAACTGTTCCTGCAGTGCTGTATGAGCTGTTTTTGAAGCCCAGAGTGTGTAGATCAGAAAAATGGGAAATTAATCATAGAAAAAGGGAAATTTTCAATTACAGAAAATGGGAAGTTAATCATAGAAAATGGGAAATTTTCAATTACAGAAAATGGGAAGTTAATCATAGAAAATGGGAAATCATAGAAAAAGGGAAATTAATCATAGAAAATGGGAAATTTTCAATTACAGAAAATGGGAAATTAATTATAGAAAATGGGAAATTTTTAATTACAGAAAATGGGAAATTAATCATAGAAAATGGGAAATTTTCAATTACAGAAAATGGGAAATTAATCATAGAAAATGGGAAATTTTCAATTACAGAAAATGGGAAGTTAATCATAGAAAATGGTAAATCATAGAAAAAGGGAAATTAATCATAGAAAATGGGAAATTTTCAATTACAGAAAATGGGAAATTAATCATAGAAAATGGGAAATTTTCAATTACAGAAAATGGGAAACTTTCAATTATAGAAAATGGGAAATTAATCATAGAAAAAGGGAAATTAATCATAGAAAATGGGAAATTTTCAATTACAGAAAATGGGAAATTAATCATAGAAAATGGGAAATTTTTAATTACAGAAAATGGGAAATTAATCATAGAAAATGGGAAATTAATCATAGAAAATGGGAAACTTTCAATTATAGAAAATGGGAAATTTTCAATTACAGAAAATGGGAAATTAATCATAGAGAATGGGAATTTTTTAATTACAGAAAACGGGAAATTAATCATAGAAAATGGGAAATTTTTAATTACAGAAAATGGGAAATTAATCATAGAAAATGGGAAACAATTACAGAAAATGGGAAATTAATTATAGAAAATGGGAAATTTTCAATTACAGAAAATGGGAAATTAATCATAGAAAATGGGAAACTAATCATAGAAAAGGGGAAATTTTTAATTGCAGAAAATGGGAAATTAATCATAGAAAAAGGGAAATTTTCAATTACAGAAAATGGGATTTCTTTTTAGAGGTAATTTCAGAAAATTTATGAAAAACCAAGCACTAAACCAATTTATTGAATAAGTGTTACATCAAGACAAGTGCTAAACCCACAAGTATAACATTAAGAGGAAGCACTAAACCTATAGGAGTCCTACAGCACCAAAGGGTAAATGGGAGGCATTCAGGGAATTGGAGCACACGTTATTACCTCCCCGAGCATCAAGGAACACTGCTTGGAGGGAATGTCCATAACAGCACTAAACCCACTTACGTATTCTACATTTACACAAGCACCAACATGTCTAGTTTGGGAGTACACACACCCACTCACCTCCATGCAAGTTCCTTGATGTCAGAGGTATTTTATCCAAATGGACCCATCCTGACCAGTGGCATGCAGTGGTCTGGCAATCCTCAGGGTCAACTTCTTGATTATATGCCCCAAATCACTATCTTATTTCCCCTAATTGGATCCCCCTCTGCATGCCACTGGTATTGACCCTCAAGGAAAATGTGACCACCATAAATGCAATACTAAGCATAACGAGAACTCTCGTACTTTACATAAAACCATTTATCTACCTATACAGGTCTCGCTATACACACAGTAGGACCCCCTGTATCTGTAAGGATACATTCCAAGGACCTGCCATGGATAGTAGCAAACCCTATATACAAGTTCTAAACATACCTATTATAAAGTTTGAAATTATGCACAATAAGTGGAGAATTATAACTTTTTCATTGATGGGAAGCAATTCATGGCTTCTCTTAGGCTTTGAAGAATTGCCAACTTCATTATGCAAAATTACAAGGCAATTTTAGGCCACAGTAAACTGTGGACAACTGACACCAAGGATACTGAATCAGTGGATACGGGGGGTTCTACTGCATTACATACATATATTTGACCAGTGGTTAACATAGCTGTGTTACTGAAAACTAAAGAACAAGAAAAAACAGATGCAGTCCTTAGACTCCCCCCCCCCCCCCCCGCACCAAAAGAATTCTCAAAATTGTAAAAATTCTTTGAATGTCACTGCTTTGAAATTGTATGGAAAGGGGGGAGGGAGGGAGGTTTAGTGGGGTTGAGGTGTACATGGGAGTAGAAGAGTGTGAGGATTGGGAAGTTGGTGTTAGGGAGACATCCTGGGAATCAGACATGACCACCCTAAATTTCCACCAGTGCCTGGAGAAGCTGAGTATAGCAGCATACAAGGTTTGTATTATTATTACAATCAAGGGGGAAGCGCTAAACCCGGAGGATTATACAGCGCCTGGGGGGGGGGGGGGATGTGGAAGGCATTCAGGCTTAATTTGGGGAACTGGAGCACAGATCCAATTCCCTAAATCAAGAGCCCCTCACCAACATCAAGGAACCTTCCTTGAGGGGAGGTTTGTATTAAGCACATGCCATTGAGGAAACCAGATCAGATAGAGAACAGATGCTACAGAAGAAAACAGGTTACTGAACTGCTTAAAAACAACGAAGGAAAGATAATCTTAGCAGAGAGATCACTGAATTAGAACAAAACCTTGTATTGTTATACCAAACAATAGTACAAAGGGAACAAAAGCCCATACAGGATATTGTAAACCCAAAATATTTTTCTTCCAATGCAAGCTCAAAGCTAAGAACTGCCTGTAGAATTGGATCATTATTGAAAGATTTGTATACTGACGAACAGGAAATGAGTGAAATGAGTTTTCAATCCATTAAACAACAGCAAGGGTAGAGAATGCAGAAACATTTTTCACTCCACCAGGCCGCAAAGACCAACTGACATTGGTATTAATCCCATAGATTTCAAAAAAAATGGATAACATGCCCAGTCACTTAGCACCTGGACCAGATTCATGGAATGCCCTATTTAGATCTAAGTGAAATACCAGACCCCTTAAAGAGTGCAGACACAGCTCCTTTGCATAAGGGAGGTAGTAAACCAGCATAGTTTTAAGGCAGGACGATCATGCCGGTCACAGCTGCTGACCTACTACGAAAGAATTACGGAGGCGTTGGAAGGCGACCAAAATGCCAATGTGATATACACAGATTTTACAAAGGCATTTGACAAATGTAATGTTTCGATAGCACACAAAATGAGGGCCATAGGTATTACAGCGAAGGCAGGCAGGTGGATTTTTGGGTTAACATAAATAGTAAACAAAGTCCAGCATCAGCAAGGCCAAAAGCTCAGTTCCCCAGAGCAATGTCCTGGCACCTCTGCTGTTTCTCATAGCATAGATAAAAAAAACATACAAGTTTTGTATCATTTGCAGACGACACTATTTTTTTTATCACACTGGCCGATTCCCACCAAGGCAGGGTGGCCCGAAAAAGAAAAACTTTCACCATCATTCACTCCATCACTGTCTTGCCAGAAGGGTGCTTTACACTACAGTTTTTAACCCTTTGACTGTCGAAGGGCCAAATCCTGAAGTTGCTTCTGGTGTCGCAAAATATTCGAAAAAAAAAAAAATTATTTTTTCTTATGAAATGATAGAGAATCTTTTCCCGATTGTAAAGACACCAAAAAAACGAAATTTGATGGAAAACTGACGGAATTACGCTCTCGCGAAGTTAGCGACTTTGGCGATATTTAAAAATCGGCAATTTCGCCCACTTGAGCCCTATTTTCGGCTAATTCCGTTATTCCAGTCAACCAAACTCATAACTATTTCTTCAGAACTCTATTTTTTCTATCGATTGAGTACAAGAAACTGCCCATTTACCGATTTCAACTACCCAATAACATGGTCAGAAATTTGCAATTTGGCCAATTTCACGAAAATTAAAAAATACGACAATTTCAAAATAAGGTCCAGAATGAACAATGCAGACATTCCTGGCTCTAAAATAACATTTTCTTTGTTCATCAGTCATGTCTCCAGGTCCCTGTGATATTACTCTTGCTTTTTTTTTGAAATTTTATTCAAACAAAAAATAGAAGATTTACTGTTATGCAGACTACTGCAATACTGTAATAATTGTAAAAATTACATCAACCCATTCATGACTGCGTATTAGAATGGCTATTTGGACATTTATTGGACAATGACATCATTTGTTCACTTTTGAACATCGGCAAAAATCAAACATTTCCTGTACTTTGTGCTCCATTTCCAGGTTCTTTTTATAGTAAAATTAATCAAAATCACCTCCATTTCTATAATATAGTTTCCATTCTATCAAATGAGACCAAGAAAACGAGAATACAACCACAAATACTATACGAAAATAGACCACAAAGTCGGCATTTTAATTAAAAAAAAACGGTCGGAGTTTTTTTTTTCTCATTATGCACTGCGTGCTCCAGGATTTTTTTTATGTGGTGCACACTGACCACACAGACCCATTCTCTCACATGTGGGCCTACTAGCTTTCTCCTGCCTGATTTGAAGCCGCTAGAATTTATGAGTATATATACGTCAAACACGGTACCTCGCAAACGTATATATACGGCCGCGACAGTCAAAGGGTTAAACTGCAACATTAACACCCCTCCTAAAATAAGCATGAAAGTCGTAATGATTTTGGTAGAATTACCGACTATATGTCGAAGAGGTATGGGGTCGAAGAGGTATGGGGTAGATTTAAAAATGTAGTGTTAGAGTGTTCAGCAGAAGTTTGTGGTTACAGGAAAGTGGGTGCGGGAGGGAAGAGGAGCGATTGGTGGAATGATGATGTAAAGAGAGTAGTAAGGGAGAAAAAGTTAGCATATGAGAAGTTTTTACAAAGTAGAAGTGATGCAAGGAGGGAAGATTATATGGAGAAAAAGAGAGAGGTTAAGAGAGTGGTGAAGCAATGTAAAAAGAGCAAATGAGAGAGTGGGTGAGATGTTATCAACAAATTTTGTTGAAAATAAGAAAAAGTTTTGGAGTGAGATTAACAAGTTAAGAAAGCCTAGAGAACAAATGGATTTGTCAGTTAAAAATAGGAGAGGAGAGTTATTAACCCTTTGAGGGTTTTCGTCGTACTAGTACGTCTTACGCGTAGGGGTTTTTGACGTACTAGTACTCATAAATTCTAGCGGCCTCAAATCTAGTGGGAGAAAGCTGGTAGGCCTTCATATGAAAGAATGGGTCTATGTGGTCAGTGTGCACAGTCTAAAAAGAATCCTGCAGCACACAGTGCATAATGAGAAAAAAAAAACTTTGACCATTTTTTTTTAATAAATCAGCGTATTTTCGTATGGTATTTATTGTTGTATTCTAGTTTTCTTGGTCTCATTTTATAGAATGGAAGACATATTACTGAAATTGAGATGATTTTGACTGGTTTTACAATGAAAGGTGCCTTGAAACTGAGCTCAAAGTAGCAGAAATGTTCGATTTTTACCAAACTTCAAAAGTAAACAAATCGTGCCAAGCGTGCAATACACGTCAACTGGTGAGTCTAATATTCTTTCACAAGTGCACCAATAATATTTATACCATTTTTTACACTAATGCAGTAGTCTGCATAACAGTAAATCTTATATTTTTTGTGAGAATAAAAATTCAAAGTGGAAAGCAAAAGAATATAAGAGGGGCCTTGAGACGTGACTAATGACTAGAGGAAATGTCATTTTAGTGCCAGGAATGTCTTTCTTGTTTATTCTGGACCCTATTCGAAAATTGGCATCTTTTGAAATTTGTGTGAAATTGGCAAAATTGCTAAATTCTGACCACTGTACTGGATAGTTGAATTTATAAATGGGTGGTTTCTTGCACCCATTCGATAGAAAAAATGGAGTTCTAGCGAAATATTCATGTTTTTTGTCGACTAGTACAGTGAAATTGGCCGAAAATGGGGCTCAAAGTGGGCAAAATCGCCGATCCGTAAACATCGCCGAGACCGCTAACTTTGCGAGAGCATAATTCAGTAAGTTTTCTATCAAATTTCAAACTTTTGGTGTCGTTATGATCGGGAAAAGATTCTCTATCTTTTCATAAGAGAAAATAATTTTTTTTTTTTTTAAATTTGGCCGACCCTGAGAACGAGTTTCGGAGAGGGCCTGTCGACCCTCAAAGGGTTAAATGGAGAGTTAGAGGTATTGGGAAGATGGAGGGAATATTTTGAGGAATTGTTAAATGTTGTTGAAGATAGGGAATCTGTGATTTTGTGTATAGGGCAAGGAGGAATAACATCTTGTAGGAGTGAGGAAGAGCCAATTGTGAGTGTGGGGGAAGTTCGTGAGGCAGTAGGTAAAATGAAAGGGGGTAAGGCAGCCGGGATTGATGGGATAAAGATAGAAATGTTAAAAGCAGGTGGGGATATAGTTTTGGAGTGGTTGGTGCAATTATTTAATAAATGTATGGAAGAGGGTAAGGTACCTAGGGATTGGCAGAGAGCATGCATAGTTCCTTTGTATAAAGGCAAAGGGGATAAAAGAGAGTGCAAAAATTATAGGGGGATAAGTCTGCTGAGTATACCTGGTAAAGTGTATGGTAGAGTTATTATTGAAAGAATTAAGAGTAAGACGGAGAATAGGATAGCAGATGAACAAGGAGGCTTTAGGAAAGGTAGGGGGTGTGTGGACCAGGTGTTTACAGTGAAACATGTAAGTGAACAGTATTTAGATAAGGCTAAAGAGGTCTTTGTGGCATTTATGGATTTGGAAAAGGCGTATGACAGGGTGGATAGGGGGCAATGTGGCAGATGTTGCAAGTGTATGGTGTAGGAGGTAGGTTACTGAAAGCAGTGAAGAGTTTTTACGAGGATAGTGAGGCTCAAGTTAGAGTATGTAGGAAAGAGGGAAATTATTTCCCAGTAAAAGTAGGCCTTAGACAAGGATGTGTGATGTCACCGTGGTTGTTTAATATATTTATAGATGGGGTTGTAAGAGAAGTAAATGCGAGGGTCTTGACAAGAGGCGTGGAGTTAAAAGATAAAGAATCACACACAAAGTGGGAGTTGTCACAGCTGCTCTTTGCTGATGACACTGTGCTCTTGGGAGATTCTGAAGAGAAGCTGCAGAGATTGGTGGATGAATTTGGTAGGGTGTGCAAAAGAAGAAAATTAAAGGTGAATACAGGAAAGAGTAAGGTTATGAGGATAACAAAAAGATTAGGTGATGAAAGATTGAATATCAGATTGGAGGGAGAGAGTATGGAGGAGGTGAATGTATTCAGATATTTGGGAGTGGACGTGTCAGCGGATGGGTCTATGAAAGATGAGGTGAATCATAGAATTGATGAGGGAAAAAGAGGAGTGGTGCACTTAGGAGTCTGTGGAGACAAAGAACTTTGTCCTTGGAGGCAAAGAGGGGAATGTATGAGAGTATAGTTTTACCAACGCTCTTATATGGGTGTGAAGCATGGGTGATGAATGTTGCAGCGAGGAGAAGGCTGGAGGCAGTGGAGATGTCATGTCTGAGGGCAATGTGTGGTGTGAATATAATGCAGAGAATTTGTAGTTTGGAAGTTAGGAGGAGGTGCGGGATTACCAAAACTGTTGTCCAGAGGGCTGAGGAAGGGTTGTTGAGGTGGTTCGGACATGTAGAGAGAATGGAGCGAAACAGAATGACTTCAAGAGTGTATCAGTCTGTAGTGGAAGGAAGGCGGGGTAGGGGTCGGCCTAGGAAAGGTTGGAGAGAGGGGGTAAAGGAGGTTTTGTGTGCGAGGGGCTTGGACTTCCAGCAGGTATGCATGAGCGTGTTTGATAGGAGTGAATGGAGACAAATGGTTTTTAATACTTGACGTGCTGTTGGAGTGTGAGCAAAGTAACATTTATGAAGGGGTTCAGGGAAACCGGCAGGCCGGACTTGAGTCCTGGAGATGGGAAGTACAGTGCCTGCACTCTGAAGGAGGGGTGTTAATGTTGCAGTTTAAAAATTGTAGTGTAAAGCACCCTTCTGGCAAGACAGTGATGGAGTGAATGATGGTGAAAGTTTTTCTTTTTCGGGCCACCCTGCCTTGGTGGGAATCGGCCAGTGTGATAATAAAAATAATAAATGTAAAGTAAAAGGACACAAGTACAACTAATGTGACATTTTGTGGCAACGTTGCGCTCTCCAGGAGGTTGTCAAGCAGTTACGGCTTGACAAAGCTCCTGGAGAGCGAAATGTTGCCACAATAAAATGTCACATTAGTTGCACTTATGTCCTTTTACTTTACAAGCATGAAAGTCACTATAAGGTGGAAGACACTGAAAAATTACAAGAAGATAAAAGCAGTGTTTTCCAGTGGGCAGTGGAGAACATGACATTCAGTGGTGATAAGTTCCAGCTACTTAGGTGTGGAAAGAATGAACTCAAACTATAGAAAACTTAAGAGGATCACCAAATAGAACGAAACACATGAAAGACTTAGGAATAATTATGTCAGCTGACCTTTCTTTCCAAGAACATAGATCATGACAGGAAGATGATGGGGTGGGTATTATAATAATCATGGGGAAGCACTAAACCTGTAGGATTATACAACACCTTTGTGGGGGGGATGGAAGGTATTCAGGCTTAATTCAAGGAACTGGAGCACAGATCCAATTCCCTAGATCAAGAGCCCTTCAACAGCATCAAGGATTCTCCCTTAAGGGGGGTACTGAAAACTTTCAAAACAAGGGAAATAATGCCAATGGAGACACTTTTCAAATCGTTAGTGCTCTCTCATTTGGACTATTGCTCAGTGTTGACGGCCCCGTTCAAGGCTGGAGAAATATCACAGCTGGAACACATACAGAGATTGTTATGGCCCACAAAGAGCCAGTAAAGCATTTAAAGTCTTGAACATGTACTCAGTGGAGTGGAGGAGAGATACATGATATATACCTGGAAAGTATTACAGGGCCTGGTTCCAAATCTGCATTGCTACCATAATATACTGGAGCGTGAGAAATGGGTGGAAAGTGCAAAACAAACCCAGTGAAAAGCAGGGGTGTGATGGGCACAATTAGGGAACACAGTATCAACATTTTACCAGAAATCAGAAACACTACTGGAACAAGTGTAGAAGTCGAGAGAAAACTAAACAAGTATCTTCACAAGGTGCCAATCAACCAGGCTGTGTCAGATATGTGGGGCAATAGGCCTCCAACAGAAAGAGCTTGGTTGACCAGGCTAGCACCAGATGAGCCTGGTCCGTGGCCAGGCTCCAAGAATACTAAGACTTGAGAAACTCAAGGGTATGGGGTGTGAGGGGTGCTGGAAGCAGGGCAGTGTGATGACTGTGACTGGTGTGGGTGGCAATGAGGGTGGTGAATGTCTGTGTGAACAGGGTGTTAGTCGAGTGCCACAGGAAATACATATTTGCATTACCTTACACTTAGTCCTCAAAGAACAGTACCAAGATGAGAACATGTATTATATACAGCATCAAACATTAAAATTTTCACATGGTTCTCATTAAGGTGCTATTCATGAGTGATGCAGCCATGATGTGGTGCTAATTGGGTTAGCCTCCCAGATGCAAATACATTATAATGATTAATTTCTACTTTTACACTGACCAATGACCACAAAAGCACAATAGTAAGGAATTTCATACTGAAAATTAAAATATTTTTTTCAACATTGTGGTTTTAATCCCTCCCCTCACAGTGACTGCAGCACTGTTTCATGATAGCACATTCCGTAACACTTGTTGGCTGTCAAGATACTTAAATTTTGTCCGAGATTATACTTTAGTGTGGGGCTCCTTCCCATTGTTTTACCAGTTCAGTCTATTAGATGGGCTTTTATGTTTGCTGGGTCAAGTAATGAATCTTCGTATCTAGTTAATTTGCAGTAGCGATAATGAATCTTGCGAGTTGAAAGTAGCCAGAAGTTCTCCATTTGGTGGGTCAAATCACGTAACGGGTGATGATCCATCGTCTTGCATCACTGTTACTAATACGCTTCCCTTCTGCAGTCTTGTGGCGGTTGGAGATCCTGTAGAGGGATTTTGTTTGGTTAGTTTGACAGAATAGTTCCCCACCGTGTAAAGTCATATTGCTTGACTGTTAGTAATACATTTAGGAAGTTTGAGTTACATGTCTCATATCTTGCTAATGACAGTAACAAAATATCAGCATAAAGATTAGCACACTTATTTTTACATTCTGTGTTTCCACATACCCTGCTGATTTAATTAGGGTTTCATACCATTGCTAATGATTTTAAGAAGGTAAATTTGGCCTTGTTTTGCCTCCCCTAACATAATTTTAATCTTGCCCTCACTCAACATGACATACCTTTTTGCCCGAGGTGTGCTTTACAATCCACTGAGTGAGCAGGCTGTCATAAGCACACTGATTACATATTTTGGCAAGACTAATCTGAAACTGGAATCCACAAGCATTTATTAAAAATGATACAGAAGGGCCCCGTTTTACGGCACTAATAGACATTTCAAATTATGACCAAAACTCGTTATATGCCCCCCCCCTCCCAACCTGACTCGTTAATATGGTCTCCATAAGCCACTGTGTTTACATCCTCCATGAGCTCTGCATCTCTCCGTTATGTTTGGAAACTTTCCAAAATCTCAAGAGTTTTAATTAAAGTTATTGCATATTTTATATTCTGATAATTATACTTATGTGTACCTATATCTAAACATACACACTGTGCTGGCATGCAGGTACACATTAAAATCACCGAGTATCAAAATGGTATACAGTATTGACAGGTTGGTAAGACACACGGGCAGCATTCAGGCATCTTTAATCCGAAACGTCTCCCCCACACAGTAGGCTTCTTCAGTCGAGTACAGATAGTAGGCAGGAGCAGCAGAGATGTGAAGACGATGTAATCAGTCCATCACCCTTGAAGACGTAGATTCGAGGTTATCAGTCCCTCAGCCTGTCGGAAAGAGAGGTGTAGAATAGAAGGAAGAATGTAATCACTGAGAGGTCACATCCCTCTCATATCCAAGCATTCTCTCTTGAAAAAGTTGTCCAAGGTGTTTTCTCTTCTGTACCAAGATGCCATTGTGTGGCATGTAATGGTATGCCATACCATTACATCGTCTTCCCATCTCTACTGCTCCTGCCTACTTTCTGTACTCGACTAAAGAAACCTGTGTAGGCGAAACGTTTCGGATTAAAGATGCCTAACTGCTGCCTATGTGTCTTACCAAAATCACTAAGAGTTTCTGACTAGTCTTGATGCCATAATAATAATAATACAGTGGACCCCCGGTTTACGATCAGCTCCCAATGCGACCAATTATGTAAGTATATTTATGTAAGTGCGTTTGCATGTGTATGTTTGGGGGTCTGAAATGGACTAATCTAATTCACAATATTCCTTATGGGAACAAATTCGTTCAGTACTGGCACCTGAACATACTTCTGGAATGAAATAATATCGTAAACCGGGGGTCCACTGTACTGGGGCACATTAAATGTTGTACATTACATTAATATAGACACTCATTAATCCATCTATATTTTTTTCAAAATTATATAAACATGCTACATAAACTATAATTATACACCTACCATTCGACTTACGACCTGCTCGACTTACGACCGTGTTTTTTATGCCAAATTTCTGGGAAATAAACAAGTATTTGTGTTGTACACAGTGTTTATCCTAAACCTTACAGTATAAAATACAGTACTAACAACATAAAAAGTAAAGTAAAACATGAAATACCAAAATAAAACAATAAAATAAAGTCATTACAAAAATGTGATGTTGATATCCAGTAGTAAAGTTCGACTTACGACCATTTCGACTTACGACCAGTTTCTCGGAACCAAACTCGGTCGTAAGTCGGATGGTAGGTGTACATACAACCAAAGCAGAATAAAGCGACATGAATATGAGATGTAGTTACCAGGTGACTTGTAGGAGTGTCGGAAAGAATTATGTTTTCTCTAGTCCAACACCAGAGAAAAGGTGTACACAATGGTATTACTGGGGGTAACTGTAGAAAATTATTCCTTTTGTATGCTTTCACTGATAGGTATTTATTTATTTTACTGCACTAATGTGAAGACTTGTACACAATGTGTGTGTACTGTGGGGTAAATGCTTCTCAAACTCGTGCCACTGTACGTGTCTGAACCAAAACTGGACAGGTATTAATACACATTTTGTCAGTCTCAGTGACTGCTCCCAGTTGTCTGACCTCTGCATTAATAAGTTTATTCAGGTACAGATACACAAAAATAGTTACCTTAATTATTATACATAACAGCATGTGTAAATTACTTAGGATAACCAAAAAAAAAAGTTATAACTTATTTCCATCAATATTTAAGGGTATTTGTTAGTAATGATTAAACTCGGTGAATAAGGTATGTCGATAGTAATAATAAATATAATAACTGCTCTGGGGCACTTTAAATTTAAGTCATATTTGGTGCAGGTGTGGTAAGTGGTGAGCTACTACACCTGACTTTATAATACTCACGTCTCACCCTACATTAAGACTACAAATATTTTAAGGCAAGTAATGAGTATGTGTGTGTATTTTACTTATTATTGTTTTTAATGCATAGTTCTATTACTAACTTAATATATGTTAGTGTAAACTTTTTATCTGGCATTTATATGCATTTATGTAATATAGTTCATATATTTACTTTTAAAATAATTCAGGTGCTATTTTTTTAGCTTTAGAATATTTACTTTGTCTTATACTTAATTCTAATTATAGATTCACTATAAATCTTATGATTACAAGCATTGATCCTGATACCAACCTCTTATTTAATGACTTAAATGAATCAAACAGTTACTGTAATTACTACACTGCAGAACAATCAAAGGCACTTCTCAGTGCCAACAACAACATAACTATATTTAACTACAATATCAGATCTTTAAGCAAGCATTACGATGACCTCATAGCATTACTAAATTCCTTACATGCCAATATGTCCATCATTACACTAACTGAAACCTGGCTAAAGCCTGATACTACAGATGTCTATGCCATTCCTGGTTACACAGCCATACACAACTGTAGGCCAGACCAACAAGGGGGTGGCACAGCCATATACTACTCAGACCAACTAGAATGTATCACTAATACTTGCACAAGGGATGAACATGGGGAATATATAATAGCTAAATTCTAATCCAAATACCTACAAAAACCTCTCAGTGATAAACATCTACAAAGTACCACAGTCAAATATCATTCGTTTTAGTGACAACCTAGGAAGTATGATAACTGATGCACGCATGAACAAAGATCACTTACTACTCTCAGGTGACTTCAATATAAATCTCCTGCAAGACCAGGACCCACACATTACTGAATTCACAAACACTATGAGTAACTGCATGTTGCTACCAACAGTAACAAAACCTACAAGAATTACAGAGACTAGTGTTTCCCTACTAGACCACATCTGGACCAATACCATATCCCCTTTAAAATCAGGCATAATCACAGATAATACCAGACCACTACCCTTTCTCATCATCAATCTAGGTAAATTACCCCAAGACACTACTAAACTAACCTCCAGACTTCATAATGAGGCAGCCATTAATACCTTCACAACAGAAATGGCAAACATCGACTGGCTAACTGAGCTAGAAACCTATACAAATACTGATTGATGAATGTATTAATAATTTTCTAAAAAAGATTCAATACCTCTATAACAAGCACTGCCCTAAAAAAAAAAAAAACAGATGACAGCTAAGAGACTGAACAGTCCCTGGCTAACACCCAGTATCCTCAAATCCATAAATACAAAGCACCTATACGAAAAACAGTACAGAATGGGTCACATAACCAGAGACCAAACAAAATGTTACTCATCAATCATAACCAGCCTGATAAGAAGGGCAAAAAATTGTATTATGAGAACAGATTATCCAACTTAAAAGGTGATATAAAAAAAGACCTGGAAAACCCCATCTGAAATTCTAGGAACAAAAAAGATATCAGAAAACAGAACAATCAAACTAACAAAACCAGATGAGCCCCAACTCCCACCAACTGAAACAGCAAACAGACTCAATGTTTTCTTCTCCACCATAGGAAAAAACCTTGCCGATAAAATCCCAAGCTCAAATACCTTACCCAATGACTACCTCACTGGCAACTACCCGAACACACTTTTCCTAGCTCCGACTAACCCAACAGAAGTCTCCCTTATTATCAACACACTAAAATACAAGACAGAAGATTTAAATACCTTATTTATTTATTTATAAATAAATAAATAAATAAATTTATTTATTTAATGTCTTTGCAAACAGTACATTGAGATTGTGTATATACAATAGTGGGTTGCAATACAAAGAGAGCCTCTATTATGCCTTGGCATTATGGGCCAACTTAACATTATTGGCTTACATTATACTTAATACTAAGTAGTATATCATAGTTGTACAGTAGGAAAGTAATTATTTCATAGTTGTACAGTAGAATATTAATTATAAATGAATCAAAATCTGTACAATACAAAGATATACGTATTTATATTCTAAAATGCTTTTGTGAAAAACAATGATTCAATTATATTCTTGTCAACAATGGATAAAAGGTTCAATGTGATTGTTTCAGTTATGATGTAGGAGTACATAGGTGAGTAAATGTATACCGAGTATTTAGCATTTAGTCTAGGGTGATTAAGTGGCTTTTAAGAGTCTTAAATTGATTTTCAGACTAGGTTACTTTAATATCTTCTGGTAATGAATTCCATATTTTGGGGCCCTTTATGTGCAGAGAGTTTTTACACTGATATGGACACGAGGTATATCAAAAAGAGATCTGTGTCTTGTGTTGTGGTCATGTGTCCTGTTTGGGTTAGTGAGGAGAAGTTTGAGTGGAGGTTAATATTTGCGTGTATTGTTCTGTGTGTGTAGTAGGCACATGAATAAGTATGGATGTTCTTAATGGTAAGCAGATTCAGACTTTTGAAAATGGGTGGAGTATGCTGGCGGGAGTGGGAATTTGTTACCATTCTTACTGCTGCCTTTTGCTGGGTTATTAGGTGTTTTAGGTGATTGGATGTTGTTGATCCCCATGCACAAATTCCATAAGTAAAATAAGGGTATATGAGTGAATGGTACAGTGCCAGGAGAGCTGATTGTGGAATGTAGTACCTTATCTTTGATAGTATGACTACAGTCTTGGAGATTTTCTTGGTGATTTGTTGTATGTGTGTCCGGAACTTAAGGCTACTGTCAAGGTGGATACCTAAGAATTTTCCCTCTGAGTCTTGTGACTGATGATCCATTTAGCATAATGTTAATTGGATTATTTGCAGCTGTTTCCAAACTGAATGAAATAGGTTTTATCAGTGTTCAAGGTAAGTTTGTTAGTCATCATCCAGGCAGATTTTTTCTGTAATTCAGCATTGACTGTGTTTGCTAGTATGACTGTGTTTGGGTGGGAAAATACATATGTAGTGTCATCTGCAAATAATATGGGTTTGAGTAGCTGTGATGCATTCGGTAGATCATTGATGTAGATGAGAAAGAGGAGTGGTCCAAGGACACTTCCGTGTGGGACTCCTACTGTGATTGGTTGGGTGGAGGAGTTTGCATCATTTGCATACACATATTAAGTTCTGTTATTAAGGTATGACTTTAGGTAGTTGAGGGAGTGGCCTCTGATACCATAGTGCATTAATTTGGAGTACAGTAGTTCATGGTCGACTGTATCGAAAGCTTTACGTAAATCAACGAAAATGCCCAGCGGGACTTTTCTTTTCTAGCGCTGTATATATTAGTTCTAGCATGTGTATGATAGCGTCATTTGTGCTTTTATTATTCCTGAATCCAAACTGACAAGGGTTTAATATGTTGTGTGAAACGAGGTAGGAATAGATCCGACTATGAATTAATTTTTCAAAGATTTTAGAGGGCGGTGGTAAGTTAGATATTGGTTTATAGTTATTCAAGTCAGCTTGGTCACCTCCTTTATGGATCGGAGTGACCCTCGCTATTTTGAGGATTGTTGGGAAGGTAGATGATTCAATGGATTTGTTAAAGAGCGTTGCAATAATTGGTGACAATACTTGAGAAGCTTTTTTGTACATAAAAGCAGGCAAGTTGTTTATGTCTCCTGCCTTGTTTTTAAGGGTGTTTATGATGAGCGTAACTTATATGGGGTTGGTTGGAGCTAGGAATAGCGTATTTGGGTAGGTACCTATGAGGTAGTCTGATGGACGGGTGTTTGTGCTTGGTATTTTGTTTGCTAGATTTTTTCCTATGGTGGAGAAGAAAACATTAAGTCTGTTTGCTGTTTCGGTTGGAGTGAGTGGGGGTTCATCTGATTTTGTTAGTTTGATTGTTTTGTTTTTGGATAACTTTTTAGTTCCAAGAGTTTCAGATAGAGTTTTCCAGGTTTTTTTCATATCACCTTTGATGTTATGTAATCTATTTTCATAATACAATTTTTTTGACCTTCTTATCAGGCTGGTAAGTGCTGACGAGTAATTTCTTGACTGTTCTATAGTTATTTGACCCATTCTATACTGTTTTTCATATTTGTGCTTTGTGTTAATGGATTTGAGGATGCTTGGTGTTAGCCAGGGATTATTCAGTCTCTTTGCTGTGATCTGTTTAGTTTTTCTGGAGCAATGTCTGTTGTAGATTCATTGGGCTTTTTTTAGAAAATTATTTATACATTCATTCATATCTGTATATGTTTCAAGCTCATTTTGCCAATCGATGTTATTCATAGCTGCTATAAAGTTGTTAACTGCTGTCTCGTTATGTAGTCTGAAGGTTACTTTAGTAATGTCTTGTGGTAGTTTGCCCAGATTAGTTATGAGAAAGGTTGGGTAGTGGTCTGTAGTGTTGTCTGTGATTATGCCTGGTCTTAAAGGGGATATGGTGTTTGTCCAGATGTGGTCTATTAAGGAGATGCTTGTCTCGGAGATTCTTGTAGGTTTGGATATTGCTGGTAGCAACAGGCAGTTACTCATTGTGTTTGTGAATTCGGTTACTTGTGGGTCCTGGTCATGTAGTATGTTTATGTTGAAATCACCTGTTAGTAGTAGGTGGTCTTTATTCATGTGTGCATCAGTAATCATGTTTCCTAGTTTTTCACTAAAGTGATAAATGTTTGACTGTGGTACTCTGTAGATGTTTATAACTGTGAGGGGTCTTTGCAGGTCTTTTGATTTAAATTTGACTATGATATATTCTCCATGTTCATCCCTTGTACAAGATTTATTGATTTATATATAAAAAGCTTTGCAAGTGCTGTCACCTATCACTGCAACACTAACAAATCCATCGAATCATCTACCTTCCCCACAGTTCTCAAAATAGCAAGGGTCACCCCGATACATAAAGGAGGAGATCAGACAGACTTGAATAACTATAGGCCAATATCCAACTTACACCCTCTCTCTAAAATCTTTGAAAAATTAATTCATAAGTGAATCTATTCTTACCTCATCTCCCACAACATACTCAGCTCCTCTCAGTTTGGGTTCAGGCCTAATAAAAGTACGAATGATGCTATTACACACATGCTAGAACAAATATACACTGCACTCGAGAAAAAAGAAGTCCCATTGGGGATCTTCATTGATTTACGTAAAGCTTTTGATACAGTTGACCATGACTTGTTGCACATAAAATTGTCGCACTATGGTATAAGAGGGCACTCCCTCAACTACCTAAAGTCACACCTCAGCAACAGAAGCCAATATGTGTACACAAATGGAGCAAACTCTTCCACACAGCCAATTACAGTTGGTGTCCCACAGGGAAGTATCCTTGGCCTTCTTCTCTTTCTCATTTACATAAACAACCTACCAAATGCATCGCAACTACTCAAACCCACACTATTTGCAGATGACACTATATACGTCTTCTCTCACCCAAGCCCGGTCATGCTAGCCAATACTGTAAATACTGAATTACAGAAAATATCTACCTGGATGATGATTAACAAACTGACAAATACTGACAAAACCTACTTCATTCAGTTTGGTAACAGAGCTACAGATGTCCCTCTTAACGTAATGATATACAGATCACCAAACACAAAGCTCACAGAGGGAAAATTCCTAGGAATCCACCTTGATAATAGACTCAAATTTCAAACACAACACATTTCCAAGAAAATTTCCAAGACCGTAGGCATACTATCGAAGATACGGTACTATGTTCCACACTCAGCCCTCCTGGCCCTATATCACTCACTCATTTACCCCTATCTCACCTATGGAATTTGTGCATGGGGCTCAACAACAATAAACCATCTCAGACATTTAATTACCCAACAAAGGGTGCAGTCAGAATGATAAACTCCCACTACAGGCAGCATACTCCACCAATATTCAAAACTCTTAACTTACTCACTGTACAAAACATCCATACTTATTATTGTACCTACTACATACATAGAACACTTAACTCAGATATAAACCTCAAACATCTCCTTACCAACCTCAACAGAACACATGACCACAAGGCACAGATCACTCTTTGATGTTCCTCGTGTCCATCTCTCACTATGTAAAAATGCAATGCACATAAAAGGCCCAAAAATCTGTGAATATAAAAGAAACACTGTCTGTTTATCAATTCAAGACTTCTTAATAAAAACCACTTACTCACCCACAACTAAATAAATACTGATTAACTGTATCTCATAAATGTATAACCTGTGACCCTATCAAACTAAGTTTTTTTGTAATTACATTATCAAACAGAATACTCCATTCTCTTGAATGCTCAGTAACTCATCAAGTATGCTACAAATTTGTACAACTATAAAGCCTCTTATTTGAAATACTCATTTGTACTTCATGTTATTTGTTTACTGTATTTTTACCGCTGAATATATCATTGCTTAGTTAATCTTAAGTTAATTTTCAGCCTGCCCACAACGCTCTGCATACAAGGGGCTTTTTGCATGTACACTCAACCACTGTATTTCTTTTGTACAACTATGTATCATGCCCAAATAATAATAATAAATAAATAAATATGTGGAAAATATGGCATTCTGCTTTACGGCAGCAGCCCGGGACCTAACCTGCCGTATAAGCGGGGCCCTACTGTATTTATATTTGCCTCTAATATTGCAAATTTAATTATGAGGAAGTGCTCATTATTATAATCATGGGAGAGCACTAAACCCATAGGGATTATACAGTGCCTGTGGGGGGGATGGAAGGTATTCAGCCTCAATTCAAGGAACTAGTCACAGATCCAATTCCCTAGATCAAGAGCCCCTCTCCAGCATCAAGGAACCTTCCCTGAGGGAAGGAGGTGCTCAACCCTTGGGAAAACATACTTCACTGGGAAAATTGGAGGCAATCAGGTTTGAATCAAAAGGAAGACTGATCCAATTCTTTGGTTTTAAAGCTCCATGCCATTTGCAAGAAAATTTTGAAATTATATTTATAAGAAAAGATATGGTATTAACTTGTTAATGTAGACTAGTGTTGCATGAATATTCAGATGGTATAAAGAATATTTGGATGGTATAAAGACTGAGCTGCACATGTCCTTTAAGTAAGAGGAATGGAACCCTGTTTTTGGTTGTACTGTATATTCAAACATTAAATTTAAACTTTCTTTTCCAGACACGCGCCAGCCAGACCGTAGTGAAAATGAAGTAGTTAAGAACGAGGAACTAACCTTGAGCTCCTCTCCCTGGTCAGCCAGTTTGTCCTTGGTGGCAGCGGTTGTCTCGTTGTTTCTTCCGCTCATGACAACACGCCTCCTTGCTACACATTCCTAAGAACTGCAAAATAGTTTTATCAATATTATTTAGACAGTGGTAATGCAATGTAAACTATGTCACTGGTGAAAATAGAGATTTGTGACTGGAAAACAAATATATAGAAAAGTCAAGTAATATACTGTGAATTTGTCAGAAAAAGTGACTAAAGTGTGGTCCTAGCACCAGCAATTGCATTATTTTGGATCAGCTGGAGAGCTTTGTTCACATAAATGTTGAAAGGTAGTGAATGTATTGCACAGTGGACTTGTCAAAGGTATTTCATTTTCACACAATAGGGTATAGCAACATATATACAGGTGGTGTGCATACATGGAGAAATACGTGATGTATTTCTCGAGTACCATGACATGTAGATCTTAGTGTTTTGAGAGTCAAGAACACTACATATTGTCAAGGTTTTTCACCCTGAATGAGTGACACGAGTCGTGAGTGATAATTTGTGGTTTATCAGCCTCTGGGTCTCATGGAGGCATTTTGTCAAATGTTTTTTTTTACATGAAACGTGTGATTACTGGGTATGTTGGATACACTGACGTATTTGTATGAAGGAAGCAGATGTGGTGTGTTTATAAGACTGATCAATATGTGAACTTCTGGCCCAGGGGAGTCGGTGATCAGCTTTCATGGTAATTTTATCTTCATCCATCACTATCATTGCCTTTGTATATAGGTTCGTTATTTAATTAATGTATTTTGGTTATGCCAGTGTAGGTCAGCTGTGAATATGTTTATTGAATTGCTTGGGTTGATTCTTCAAATCTTATGAATTGATTAGATGTCAATTTGTTCTAATCTTTATCCAGTTGCTTGCTTGAATGGTTAAGGTAAACCGTGTCAAATGCAACTTAATACATCTGGTGTAATTTTTTTTATACATTCGGTGAACATTGATATATTCCTGCCCCTCAAAAGAGGTGCCTTGATCGAGGGAACTGGAAATATTCTCCATTTTTCTGGACAAACCCAATTGCCTCCCATTCTCTATGGGTTTAGCGCTTCCCTCTGAATAAATTATATTTTTGATTGATGGGGACGTAGTGGACCTGAAAAGAGCTTTCAGCACCTGGGGGAACAGGAGGTAATAAGGTTTAATGCAAGGAAGGGTATGCAATTCCTTGGACCAAGAGACCTATTTGAAATGTTTCATGGCTTTCTCGATCATTTTTGACGTTTCTTGCATTTCAGTGTAAATATTCTTGCTTATTTTACTTGGTATCACATGGTGATAGCTGTGGGACAGGAGGGAACAGCACCTGGGGAAATTGAGAGGCAATGAGGTTTGCTCCAAGGAAAGGGAGGCAGTATAATGGAAGAAACTACCAACAGTATGTACATAAAGATAAATTATAGGTTATGATGTCTTGAGAATTTCTCCACCAGGAAGTTATAACAATACAATGAAATGATGCCAATCCTGGTGGATCAAGTGTCTTCAATAATAAATTGCTATATGGTAGACATGCCTAGTGAATCAAGCACTGCAACCTCTCGGAAGATAGGTTTGTAACCTCAGCTCCTCCCCGGAATCATGAACTACATGTCCTCTTATTTACATGAGAGGATTTGTTGAATTACTTGGATATAAGCATGATCACTTCATGAAAACATGTATTATATGATATAATAAGCCCAGTTACATTATATATTGGCATTATTTGGTCTAATGTAATGATGGTGTCCTGGTTATATTACTTTGTATTAATGTTGGTAAAATTATCGGCAGTATGTTAGGTAAAAGGACACAAGTGCAACTAATGTGACATTTCATTGTGGCAACGTTTTGTTCTCCAAGAGCTTTGTCAAGCTTGATAAAGCTCCTGGAGAATGAAACGTTACCACAATAAAATGTCACATTAATTGCACTTGTGTCCTTTTACCTAATATATTACTTTGGGGGGAAGGGGAGAAGTAAACCCATAGGGGCAGTATAGGGAATAAGAGGCAATCAGGTTCAAAGGAAAAATCCAATTATCTGGATCAAGTCCCTCTTTGCCAAGGTAAATGTAGCCACCGACTCTCCTGTTTCAAGAAATATATATATTTTGTGGTAGCTCACGATAAAACATACTCTAAGGTTTATACAATCTGAGGCTCCTAGAAGCATGTTGGTATGAGTTGTGCGCAACAGTGTAGAATAGTATTGTACAGTAGTTTAGTGTGTTGCGGTGGTGCAGTCAGACTTAAAACTTTTTTTTTTTTTTGTGTTTACAAAATTTCAGGGGTAATTAATTTATATATTTATCTATACAACATTTTGTTTTACTGCACCATCCTATGGATAAAAAAAAATCATTTACCACTGTATGTGATAGCCTTTGGCCATGGATATTTGTCCTTTATGTTTAACATCAGTTTTTTCTTGTCAAGTATAAAGGTAAACAATGCTTTGTATATAATGACTGACAGTATACTGTTATCGGAGGAGATGAATTCATGACATGTGGGTCCAAACAGTGTAAGCTATAAAGGAAATGATATTTCCTTAAGAGGAGCACTTAATGTCATGTTGCTAGAAATGCTGTTTGACAATCTTGGGTATGTGTGATGTGCCGTGTTAAAACTGTAGATATGTACATATCTTTGAGAGTCTGTGGGGTTGAAATGCAAACATGTTCAAGGATCTGGCAGAACTTTGTCTAGTGAGATGTGGTAAAGAGACTGGAGGGGTAAGGTGACTGTTATAATTATGGTTAAGCACTGAAGTTGTACTGGTAATAGTGTGTGTGTGTGTGTGTGTGTGGGAAGAAGGCGGTTTGATGCGAGGAAAAGAATTGGGAACTCTCAATAATTAGGAGAGTTGAGAGGTAATTAAGAGATACCTTTTTTGTGTGTAAAACTCTGAAGGGAGTGGCTGTTAATCCAGGGAACTGGCACTAGACTGAACCTGATTGCCTCCCGTTCAAGTGGTATATGACCTGTACATAGTGTACCAAGTCTGTCTGGGTTTACCAACGAGGAAGAAAGAGGATTGTTATAACTATTATAGCAAGTGCCTCATCACAGGTGAAACCAATATGGCAAGTACCTCGTCATGAGTAAAACCATTACTAGATCCTCAGTATTGAGCTTATGGGACTTACCCACGGATATAAAGTAGAAAGAATGGTACCATGTCAGTATATTAACTTAAAATACATTTCTTCCAAGAATTGCAATAACATTTTGATATTGGTAGTCTATGTAACATTAAATTGCAAAGTTTGAGATAACTGAAACATATTTTTTGTAAAGTGAGTATGTTTCATTGTGAATTATTTAACAAAACCAATATTTTTATTTTAAATAAATCATAATGTTTATAAATTTTTTTAAGGTTTTATTTAAAATTAACTAGTGAATCACAAGCAATTTGGAAATAAAACAAACATTTGTTCTTCCAAATCTGAATATGCAAATATGCTGTAATATTGAGCACAGATGTTTAGGGATTCTGTATTTAAAAAGGTTTTCTAACGGTGAATACAGTCTTTGTTGTCCAGCCTCTCCTCGCTTAGCGACGTACTTGTTTAACGACTTGGACTTACAATGGGCTCTCTGATCAGTATGCATACCTAAATAATGTATATTAGAGCTGATTTCCTCTATTCTGTTTATTGCAATATACAGTACACTGCTGTATAAACATTTAATAATATACCAGAAATGTTATAAATGGTGCAAAGGTGACATTAAAAGAATATCAATGATTGTTGACACAAACCCACATACCGTTATAGTATGCTCCTCACTTAGCAACGAATTTGTTTACTGACGTGGTCTTAGGAATGGAACTCCATTGATAAGTGAGAAGAGGCTGCATTAACTCTGATATCTCAGGAAAATGGTATTCCTGGCACCTTGCTAATCAGTGAAATTGGTAAGCACTTAACCTAAAAGGAATATACAGCATGTGGGGAATTGGGAGGTCATCAGGCTTAAAGGAAGGGTAGGATAGCCCACTTCCATGGATCAAGAGCCCTCCCTTGCAGGGTGTACTTCTCAAAGTTTCATTTCCTACATGGGACCTCAACTGCTAATTTAATTATATACGGCTTTCTTGAAGAGGGGGCATTATAACCAGTAAATATTAAACTTATGTTTTTGTAATATGAGATTTAACTCAAACCCAGCAATATAAAAGAACACTGCCTCGTTTCCAGATGTGACGGCAGCGCAACGCTTAATGTTTGTTTCAACCACACATTTGCCATATAACAATATTTTGGTGTTGTTCCAAGTGCCTTTTGTAAATTCAAATTGTTAGAAAATTATAGGGAACATGTTAAAGGTTATTAGGACTTTGAGGTTAACTGGGATTGGATAAAAGGCAGTAACGGTAATATACGAGATATTTTGTCAACTGTACAATTAGAAATTTTCTAGTACATAAAAACCTTACGGTTTAAGCAAACAGTATACTTATAATGGGAATAATGTAGCGTGCATCTCTCAATTCAGTTTTTTAGGCTAAACATACAGTTTGAGGGATGCGTCGACAAAAATACTTCTCCCATAATGTTTGCCATTTTGGTAGCATAATTTACACACATTTGATGTGATAAGTCATGTCCTTACACAAAGGGCTGCTACATTACTCAACTAGTACATGTACAGTACACTCACTGATAGTGGGTACATGTATGTAACTGGTAATTACTTTACCTATAGCAGCAGTGGTTATATGTCAACAATTTTCTCAGTGTTTTTTTTTTTTTTTCTTTTAAGGCTGTACTTAGATATCCATGTTCCAAAATGCCCTGATATGGGATAATTATATTCATAGGCAAGTGCTAAACTTGTAAGAGTTACGCAGCACTGCCTTTAATATGGAAGTTTTGACAATTGATCATGCAACTGTATGACTCAAAAATACTCGAACATTTATTCTACGTTTTGGACTTTTTTTTTAGTTTTATATAATGCAATATTTTATATCACTGCCAGTTTTAACAAAATTACTCAGTTTTTATTAGTCATAGATCCTTCAGGTGTTTTTTACTCTGAATAACTTAACAGAGTTCAGTTTTTAAATATCTGATTTCTTTATGTACAGTGGACTAAAAGTGAATGAAATATGCACATGTGGGTTATCTGTACCCCACCACCCTCACTGACTCAGATGTCCATTAGGGTATTATACCAGTAGCATTCCTATTACCATATCACCAAGTCTATAGCAAATAAATTTAGTAATATCAGCAGTGGACTAGTCTTACACACATCAAAGAGTTGAAGCCTTTGACTAACTACTGTGGCAATACTCATTTCACCATACTATAGTTGGTGACTTCCACTCAACCTAAGTACGTACTTACACACCCTCCCTTCTCTCGTCAAAGTCCCAGGTCCTTAGTGTTCCGTAATATATTCGCCCTCAAACTTAGAATGTAAACACACTACTGGGTTAGAGTAACTTAGTGTTCAGAAAAAGGTGGTTGTTGCAAATTTTAGGACGGAATATATTTGTTGTCATTACGACCCATGAATGTATTTTGACAACTTTCTTTGAATGCTCCATTTATTTTTATTTTGTAAATGAGTAATCACATAATGAATCCTAACCAATGTATAAATGAGTAATTTAGCAGTGATGAGATGTATTGATGTGTGGCTTCAATGTAGCTCCGAGTTTTTTTTTTTTTTTCACAAGAACATCATTTTCCAAGTCGATGAAATATTTGGTACTGACAGTTGTCGATCCCGTTGCAAAAGTTCCGTACAGTAGAGTAGCCCCTAGTTTCATACACTCACCCCTCATATGCCATTACCTGGTCATAAGAAGAATATTCCAGTAGAAAGATGCCACAAAAACTTGTTCACATGTTCACAACTATCAGGGTAATTACTGAGTGCAAAGATAAAATGAATGGTGGTAATTTCTCTGCAGGAATATTGCTGGCTTGCAATTTATTTCCACTCCACTGGTGTGAGAGTATTTATGTACGTACTACATAGCTGCAAATGACAACCCACACACTATTTTATTAAGATTGTAACACACGATATCCTTACCCTGCCCCCCCACCCCATACTCATCACATAACTCCATCTTGTGTACCCAACAGTAGCAAGAGTAATGAAGTCACTGTACTGTTTGAGACAGAAGTATGGAGGATCAAGGAATGATGTATCTGTAAATGTGTACTGTATTTATAATTTATCGTCCTCACTGATTCCGTATTTGCCAAAAGGAAATATTTTATAATTGACTTTTGTACATAATAAAGTTACTGTAATCTGAAATGCACTGCATTTTATATCCTACGTGTTGTGAAAAGTATGACAATTTGCATAGAACACCCTTCAAAGGTAGTACCTTGAAGTGAACCTACCCTTCCCTTCCCTAGATCAAACTGTTACTTCTCAAACCCCAAACACTGTTACCTTTGAATTTTGTGTATCTTCAAATACATAGTACAGTGGACCCCCAGTTTATGATATTATTTCATTTCAGAAGTATGTTAGGTGCCAGTACTGTACGAATTTGGTCCCATAAGGAATATTGTGAATTAGATTAGTCCATTTCAGACCCCCAAACATACATGTACAAATGCACTTACATAAATACACTTACATAATTGGTCGCATTGGGAGCTGATCGTAAAGCGGGGGTCCACTATTCCATTCATGGGGGAGAAAGGAGGGGAACCAAAATGCCTACAAAGGTCATGGAAAGGATGGAGGCTCAATTCAAGGAACTGGCACACAGGTCCAATTCCCTAGATCAAGAACCTTCAGAAGCATCAAGGAACATCCTTTGAGGGGTATAGTTATGATGAACAAGACACTGTATTCACAACTCACAATATGGTACTGGAATGATACATAAATACTGAAAAGTTGGAGTGAATGATAAGATGTAATGATAATGTTTCAAGGGAATGTCATGAAGAGGATTCATCACATCTAGTTTCATTTACTTAACCCACAATACGACCAGGAAACTTCAGTTTCAGTCCATGATGAACCATTAACAAGTCCCAACGAATTCAAAAGCAGTTTTAACCACTGTATTTAAAGTTAAAATTTTTTCCTGTACTACTGAGACAAACCATGCTACAGTTATAATCCCTAGTAAAGTGCTAAACCCATAGGGGGAACAAAGTTATAAAGCACCTGGGAAATGGAAGGTAATCAGGTTTGATTTGAGGAGGGGAAATCCCACTCTAATTCCTTGTGGGGAAAATTTTGAATTTTCCTAAATTAAGCATGTATAAATTTGAATTATATAATTAAATTAAAATGTGATGCTGATTTGACCCTTTCAAGAAATTTCGAATGGGGGGGGGGGGGGTGTCGAAGAGCTACTGAGTGATGTCATATAATTGTGTGAACACTGGACTGAATTATGCAATGTAATTTGGCATTCTCGAAGGTCAATTGGTGTATATCAGCCTCAATCTGTAATTTAGAAATTGCCAACACATTCCTGCTGAAGAATTGGGATAAATAGTGTGGAAGGCCCTTACAATTCGGCAACAGGGATGGAAAAATAGAACATTGGGGAATTCTGCTAATCCGGCATCTTCCAAGCCAATTGGGGGGGTTTCGGCTTTAATTTGTAATTAGGAACCCATGTTAATGTCCCCTACTGAAGAAATGGGACAGGAAATTTGTGGGACCTCAAGAATTACGTGTGGATAGCGGAAGAGATACAACCATCACTCACAGAAAAGTGTGTCAAGAGTCCATGTATTTGGATCTCTAGCTGGCTGGTGTAGGGCCTAGGTGTCAGGCAGGTGTTGAGGTGTGATACATGTACATTAATTAAATGGTAAGTGGTAATACAAATTTCTTGTGTAACCAGCAAGCCTAGTCAATTACAGTCCACAATTTTGATTTACCAGAGTAGCTGGTTTTAATACTGTAATTATTAATTTAATGTTAGGTCTAGCTTTTTGTGAGTGGTGAACTAGGCATCGAAGGAATTACAGTTCAGTGACCTACTGTGACTTAAGTCACACTTATCTCACCCAAATTACTTGCACATAATTCAGGTAACACCCTGTAAACATCATGCAGGTAATTTACTCACATAATAATAATTCATAATAAGATTATATTGTTTTACATATGCTCGTGACACTGAAACTGTGGTTATGTACTTTTTACACATTTAGTTGGTGTTGGGATATGTTAGGGATTATAATTATGGGGGGGGCACTAAACCCATAGGATTATACAGCATATGTGGGGGGGATGGAAGGTATTCAGGCTCAATTCAAGGAACTGGAGCACAGATCCAATTCCCTAGATCAAGAGCCCCTCACCAGCGTCATAGAACCTCCCTTGACGAGGGGAGGGGGGGGGTGTTAGGGAGAGAAGGCATTTTTTAAAAGTAATTTTGAAAATGATGGCTGAGACAATGGATCTGGAGATTTCCAGCAGTTTTTTCCAGATTTTGGGCCTTTTTATGTATACTGAATTTTTAGAGAGATTTAGCTGGACACTGGGAATGTCAGAGATTTTTGTGCCTAGTATTATGTCTGTGGGTTCTGTTGCAACTGTCAAGAAAGTGCTTCAGGTTGGGATTTATATTGGAATTTCTTGCTTTGCAAATGTAGGTTGCACAGTAGTATAAATGTTTTGTATAATGAGTAGGTTTAGGTCACTGAAGAGTGGGGGGGGGTCTAGTAGTGGACTGTGTGATCATTGGTACTGCAGCTTTTTAAACCATGTTACGGATGGGGATTGAACTCGTGGCTAGCGAGTCCTAAAACTCCAGACCAATGTGTTAGCCACTGGGCCAGTGGTTAACGCATTGGCCTAGATTTCGTGAGTCTTGGTACGGCTTTTTGTTGGGTCATTACTGGCTTTAGGTGAGTTACTGTTGTGCATCCCCAGACACAAATAGCACAGTTGAGACTATGGGTAGATCAGTGTAATGTAAATAGTGTAATGTAAATAGTGCTGTTTGAGGTACATAATAATGAATCTCCAAGATGATATCAGCCGTTTTAGATATTTCTGTTGTGTTGGAAATGGGTGTTGAATTACAATTTGTTGTCGAGGTGAAGACCCAGAAAATTTCCCCTTGTTACATTCATCAAATCCCCTCAAGGGAGGCTCCTTGATGCTGGTGAGGAGCTCTTGATCTAGGGAATTGGATCTGCACTTCAGTTCCCAGAATTAGGCCTGAATACCTTCCAACCCCCCCCCCCCCACAGGCACTGTACAATCCCTACGGGTTTAGCACTCCCCTAATTATAATATTAGTTTAGCAATAAGGGTATTGTGTACAGAAGGTTGGTTGGTTAATGGGGTTTAATGTATCTACTACACGCAGGTCATTAAGGGGGCGACGCGCCAAATTGCCTTTTTTTTCTTTTGGTCCAATTTGAATGGAATTTTTACAGAGAATTAAGCAGCATTTGAAAAGTAGATACTGTGCTTTTAGTCGCCATTTTTCCTTACAATTAGAAGAAAATAACTAGTGCCATATTTTATAAAGGTCACGTCAGTCCTCCTACAAACTAGGTAAGATTTACAATGTTCTAGTCGACATCAGTTCAAAGGTAACAAGTTAGGTAATCTAATTACAAGGACATTTGAGCAAAATGTTAATAGATTGTATTATACAATATGTTGAAATGTATTTTTTTTAAGGACTGTTTTGGGAGAAAAAATTTAATAAACGAAATGGTAAAGCATATTGCAAACTCTCAATGTAATTTAATAGAAGCATCATCCCTCAATAACATGTGAAAAAATCACGATGCTCCTATAAATACTCTTCGTGCGGGAGGGAAAACAATGCCAGTAACTTATTTCCGAGTTATTCTTAATTACATTTCATGTAAAACTCCATGGTTACGGCGCGCCAAACGTAAGCGTGTTGCACACCTCCGTCCTCATTAACAACCTGCGGGATGCCCAGGTATAATCTCACCGTTCTTTTTCACTCTAGTCCGCACAGGATTTATGTTTAAAATTAAACCATAAAAATCACGACCCGACTCACGAAATCGTAATGACGTGAAATTGTAACGGCGCGATTGCAAAGGAACTGCACCACGGATCGCGGGTTCTATCCCCGCCCGAGGAACAGTTTATAAAAATCGTAATTTTTAGAGTAAAAAAAAAACTAATTGCTGACCGCAGGAGCAAAAAAAAATTACATTTCTGGAAAAACATATTTACAAATATGATAGAAACAAGACGATGCCATTAACATGTTGCCAGAATTATGTACTATTTTTTTTTTGGTAAGAAAATATTGTTTTTTCATAATTTTTAATTTATTTTATCACTAAAAAAAATTTTGGTGGCCTGTCAATAATACATTAAATACTGATTAATATAAACTACCAGCGCATATACGCCGAGGAACATACACATCCCTGCCAAAGAAATGTAAATTAGAACGATAAATAAGAAAACAAATACCATAAATGAGGAGCCGAGGTGACACATCCTCCCACCACGAAGTCTGGAGGACAACTGACTCGCCTGTGAGATGGTACACTACTAATATTTGTACAGAAATACATCTCTAGTTAACTTAGTTAGTCACCTCGATACTAGATGGTGCTGAGGTGATGCAACCTCTGGGGCTATGTGTATGTGCGTCTCAGTGTGTGTATATGCTGGTATATACATCTCTCAGTGTGTATATGCTGGTATATACATCTCTCAGTGTGTATATAATCTCGTGGTATATACATCCCTCAGTGTGTATATGCTGGTATATACATCTCTCAGTGTGTATATGCTGGTATATACATCTCTCAGTGTGTATATGCTGGTATATACATCTCTCAGTGTGTATATGCTGGTATATACATCTCTCTGTGATGTGGTTTATCATAAAGCTGGTATATACATCTCTCGGTGTGTATATGCTGGTATATACATCTCTCAGTGTGTGTATATGCTGGTATATATATATCTCTCAATGTGTATATACTGGTATATACATCTCTGAGTGTGCATATGCTGATATACCTGGACCTGGAGTTTACCTGTAGAGAGTTTCGGGGGTCAACGCCCCCGCGGCCCGGTCTGTGACCAGGCCTCCTGGTGGATCAGCGCCTGATCAACCAGATCAACCTGATCAACCATATATACACATCTCAGTGTGTATATACTGATATATACACTTCTCAGTGTGTATATACTGATATATACACCTCTCAGTGTATATATATACTGATATATACACCTCTGTGTGTATATACTGATATATACACTTCTCAGTGTATATATACTGACATATGCACTTGCGTATATACTGATATATACACCTCTCAGTATGTATGTACTGATATATACACCTCAGTGTGTATATACTGTTATATACACCTCTGTGTGTATATACTGGTATATACATCTCTCAGTGTATGCTGGTATATACATCTGTGTGTATATACTGGTATATACACCTCTGAGTGCGCATATGCTGGTATACACACCTCTCAGTGTGTATATACTGATATATACACCTCTCAGTGTGTATATACACTGATATATATACCTCAGTGTGTATATTCTGACATGCATATCTTAGTGTGTATATACTGATATATAGACCTCTTAGTGTGTATATACACTGATATATATACCTCTCAGTGTATCTATACTAATATATACACTTCTCAGTGTGTATATACTGGTATATACACTCAGTGTGTATATACTGCTATATACACCTCTCAGTGTGTATATACTGCTATATACGCCTCTCAGTGTGTATATACTGGTATATACACTCAGTGTGTATATACTGCTATATACACCTCTCAGTGTGTATATACTGGTATATACACTCTCAGTGTGTATATACTGACATATACGCCTCTCAGTGTGTATATACTGGTATATACACCTCTCAGTATGTATATACTGGTATATACACTCAGTGTGTATATACTGGTATATACACTCAGTGTGTATATACTGGTATATACACCTCTCAGTGTGTATATACTGACATATACACCTCTGTGTATATACTGACATATACACCTCTCAGTGTGTATATACTGGTATATACACTCAGTGTGTATATACTGGTATATACACCTCTCAGTGTGTATATACTGACATATACACCTCTGTGTATATACTGGTATATACACCTCTGAGAGGTATATTGTCCCGCCTACCATAATAGGGAGTTATCTCAGCGTGTAGATTTGCGTTCAAACCTTCTACGTGGGTTACAGAGGACAATAAAAGAATCAGATCTCCCTTAACAACATTTATTGTAGTTATATCAAAACAAACTCTGTTGATATTGGCTTTAAAAGCGCGCTTATAATTTACAAAACGTCACATCTGTACACACTATATACAACGAATTGGATTTTTAAGGTGTTGGAAACCTTTAAGAGGATTTAAAATGAAAGAAATATGTGGGATTTAAGGTGTTGGAGAACTTTAAAAGGATTTAAAATGGTGTTAAGAGGATCTAATTGGAATAAAAGGAATCAAGAAAGAAATATGTGGGGTTTAAGGTGTTGGAGAGCTTTAAGAGGATTTAAAATGGGTGTTAAGAGGATCTAAGATGGATTAAAAGGGATCAAGAAAGAAATATGTGGGGTTTAAGGTGTTGGAGAGCTTTAAGAGGATTTAAAATGGTGTTAAGAGGATCTAAGATGGATTAAAAGGGATCAAGAAAGAGTTATGTGGGGTTTAAGGTGTTGGAAACCTTTAAGAGAATTTAAAATGGGTGTTAAGAGGATCTAAGATGGATTAAAAGGGATCAAGAAAGAGTTATGTGGGGTTTAAGGTGTTGGAGAGCTTTAAGAGGATTTAAAATGGGTGTTAAGAGGATCTAAGATGGATTAAAAGGGATCAAGAAAGAGTTATGTGGGGTTTAAGGTGTTGGAGAGCTTTAAGAGGATTTAAAATGGTGTTAAGAGGATCTAAGATGGATTAAAAGGGATCAAGAAAGAGTTATGTGGGGTTTAAGGTGTTGGAGAACTTTTAAGAGAGATTTAAAATGGGTGTTAAGAGGATCTAAGATGGATTAAAAGGGTTTCAAGAAAGAGTTATGTGGGGTTTAAGGTGTTGGAGAGCTTTAAGAGGATTTAAATGGGTGTTAAGAGGATCTAAGATGGATTAAAAGGGATCAAGAAAGAGTTATGTGGGTTTAAGGTGTTTGGAGAGCTTTAAGAGGATTTAAAATGGGTGTTAAGAGGATCTAAGATGGATTAAAAGGGATCAAGAAGAAGTTATGTGGGGTTTAAGGTGTTGGAGAGATTTAAGAGGATTTAAAATGGTGTTAAGAGGTTTCTAAGATGGATTAAAAGGGATCAAGAAAGAGTTATGTGGGGTTTAAGGTGTTGGAGACTTTAAGAGGATTTAAATGGGTGTTAAGAGGATCTAAGATGGATTAAAAGGGATCAAGAAAGAGTTATGTGGGGTTTAAGGTGTTGGAGAGCTTTAAGAGGATTTAAAATGGTGTTAAGAGGATCTAAGATGGATAAAAGGGATCAAAAAGAGTTATGTGGGGTTTAAGGTGTTGGAGAGCTTTAAGAGGATTTAAAATGGGTGTTAAGAGGATCTAAGATGGATTAAAAGGGATCAAGAAAGAGTTATGTGGGGTTTAAGGTGTTGGAGAGCTTTAAGAGGATTTAAAATGGGTGTTAAGAGGATCTAAGATGGATTAAAAGGGATCAAGAAAGAGTTATGTGGGGTTTAAGGTGTTGGAGAGCTTTAAGAGGATTTAAAATGGGTGTTAAGAGGATCTAAGATGGATTAAAAGGGATCAAGAAAGAGTTATGTGGGGTTTAAGGTGTTGGAGAGCTTAAGAGGATTTAAAATGGGTGTTAAGAGGATCTAAGATGGATTAAAGGGATCAAGAAAGAGTTATGTGGGGTTTAAGGTGTTGGAGAGCTTTTAAGAGGATTTAAAATGGGTGTTAAGAGG